AAGGGTGCCTTCAAGAGTGGATGGGGCACTTCGTGCCACCGGCTGCAACCCAGACCTGCGCCCTCTCGATCGACGTCGCCAACGACGGAACGGCTGGGGACCTGACCAGAGGGGTGACTATCGATATCTGGATCAATCAAATGAGAGACGGGAAGGCGGCCGCTATTATGGCCGGCTCACCATTCGAGACCTGGCGTGTGTGTGTGCGTGTGTGTGTGTGTGTGTGTGTGTGTGTGTGTGTGTGTGTATGTGTATGTGTGCGCGTGCGTCCGCTACCCTCTGGCTCAAGCCGTCTCGGCTCGAGGTGGCTTGCGCGGCCTCGATCCCGCGGCCCGGCGGGCGCGCCCTCGGGCCTCCGGCGGCGGCTTGGGCGGGGGGTCTCGCTTCTCTCCCCTCTTGGCCCTTCCACCGGACGATGGCTAAGTCGGCGTCGCCGCGCTGCCGCCGCTCGCGCAGCTGTCGCGGCGGCCGCGCCGAGGCCCCCGCGGCGCCGCGTCGGCGGCAGCGGCCGCCGCGGCCGCCGCTCTCTGACACCGCCCGGCCTGCCGACGCCCGCGGCCGCCGGCCGCGGCGCCGGCGCCGCGCGCCGCGCGGCCGTGGACCCTGGCCCAGCGCGGCCGGCCGCCGTCCCCGCCGCGGCCGCTGGCGCCGCGGCCGCGGGCGCCAGCCCCGCCGTGGGCGCCGCTGCCGCCTCGGCCGCTTCCGACCCGGCTGCCGCCACGGCGGCAATTTCCTCCAGGACGGCGTGACTGGCTCCGCCTGGAGCGACAGCTGGGCGCGCCACTCGGGCCCTTCGCCGCACGCCCTCGCGAGTGGGCTGGGAGTGCAGGGCCCGGTTGGCTGGGGCCCCGCTGACCCAGTTGGTTGGCGCGGCCGCCCAGGGCGACGCCCGCGCCCTGGTGTTTTCGCCGGGCGGCCACATCGCCTACCTGAACCCGTCCCGCCTGGCCAGCCGCCCGCCCCAGCGACGTCCGCAGCGACGAGGCGCGCGCTGACGACGAGGTGGCGCCTGGGTGCCCGTCCGCAGCGACGAGGCGCGCGCTGATGCCCGGCGCCGTCTGATCTGCTGGGCCGTCGCCGTGCACCGCAGCCGGTATGCTGCTGCCTGCGGCTACCACATCTTCGGCTTCAAAGGCGACGGCTAGCGGTTCGAGTGCTGGCTGTGCGCGCAACGCTGCACGGACAGGCTGGCAGCCCTCTGGAAGGTCCGATGGCGGGGCTGGCCTGCCAGGCCCCCGGCATCGGTTCCGCATGGTGGTCCCGCGCCGCGCCAGCGTCTGCGGCGCCCTGCCGCTGCCCCTCCCTCCCCTTCGTCCCGTCCCCCTCCCCCTTCGACTGGTTTGATTTGGATGACAAAGACCAGGCTGGTGTCGCGCGGACTCATGTTTGCCAGGCGCCACCCTCACCAAGGTTGTTGTTGCTGCTGCTGTTGTTGTTGCTGCTCACTGCTCGCGGTGGCGCGGAGAACCTCGCCCGCCGGCGCTCGACTGAGCAGAAGCGCGGCTGGGTGGCGGGGTCATCGTGGAACTCATCGGCCAAGGATTTCTCATCGGTCAGGCCAGGGATCATCCACCGTCCCCTGCCCCTCTCGGGCCCTCCCTGGCCCCTCCTTCCCTTTCCGCTCTTTCCCCCTCCCCTCCCCCTCCTCGCCTCCCTCCTTCCTTCCCCTGGCTTCCCTCTCTTGCCCCTCCTCTTTCTTTCCCGGGTGGGTGATCCCCTGGCGGCCTGGCGCTGACTCCCAGGGGACAGGGGGAGAGGCGTGAGAGGGGGAGAGAGCGTGGGTGTGCGTGTGTGTGCGCGTGCGTGTGTGCGTGTGCGGGAACCATCTATAGCGGTCGCAGATGTGAGGGGCCGCTCCGGAAGAGAACGCGTTTGCCGGTGCGAAGGAATGCGTTTGCCGCTGCGAGGGGGCACGCTTGCCGCTGGGACATGGGCCGTGGAAGCTGGCGTCGCATCATGCGCTCCAGGTTGAAGGTCTGACGGGCGTTCTGGGTTGAAGGTCCTAGGGGCGCTTTGGATTTGAGGCAGCGTGTGTGTGTGTGTGTGTGTGTGTGCGTGTGTGCGTGTATGTGCGTGTGTGTGTGTGTTTGTGTGTGTGTGTGTGTTTGTGTGTGTGTGTGTGTGTGTGTTTTTGTGTGTGTGCTGCGCGTGGTTTCCTCATTCTCCAGTTTGGGTAGTCATCGTAAGATCTGTAGGTGCCAGTCATTGGTCGATAGCTCTGGGTTCAATCTATCCCGATCCCTCCTTCGCGAAGGCGTAGGCACATAGCACTCGCGTCTCCGTGGATCTAGGGTCTGTGAGTTGCTCGCGATGGTGTGAGCGACGTGTCGTCGTAATGTGAGTAGGTGTATGCATAGGTGATGTGCCGTCGTGCTTGCGCCGTGGAGGCGCTGTGATGGTCGGTATGTCGAAATGGGTCAAGTGCTTTCGGTGGGTCCGAGACGCACCGCTGTCCCGGCCACCTTCGCGGCGCCTCTAATCTTTGGTACCGATGCGGTATGGTGACGTCCAGGACCTTCTTGTTGACCCTCACCGCCCCACGCCCTGCTCCTGGGACCGGCGTCGGGTCCAGGGATGGCCACCTCGACCGGCGCGTCTACAGACCGCCGAGTCGGACAGGAGCACTTTTATTGTGCCTAGCCGCGCGTGCCCTGGTGAATGCGTCGACATATGGTTACCCAGGACTCCCGGCCGGGTCGTGGGGCAACGGGCCGGCTACATTAGACGGAGTTGTGTCCACGACATCGCAGAGTTTCGCGCGAGCCAGCGCGGCAAACCCCAAGGCTCTGCCAGGGCGGGAGGGCATCGCTCGACAGTCCCTGGGCCGGGGGCGGTTGATGTCTCTGGGCATCTCCCCCGGTCACGCATTGATCGTTTGCGCCGGGGGGCGCCTGACCAACGCGCTCTTGGTGGTGTTGGTGCGTGGCTTACTGGGCGGCGTTCTGCCAGTCCTGAGGGTCCACCTCGCGTGTCCGAGCGGACATGGAAGCCGTCGAGGTTTGTGCCTCTGGGGCGGCCGAGGGGGGCCCCCGGGGGGGAGGGGGCGGACTGGGCGGCGGGGTGGGGAAACCCCGGCGACCTCCCGCGCGGGGGAGGTCGACGTCAGCTTTGGCTGCTGACGCGGTCAACGACTACACGCAAGGTCCAAGCCAAGCTGGCGGAAGACAGGTCACTGGCCCCGTGCGAGCGAACACGGGAGGAAAAGCGCAAGGCGAAATGGCTGCTGGCACCGCTCAAGCGAGCCAGCCGCAGGAAACACGAGCGACGCGAACACGCTCGTGCCCCAAGAGGGCCCGAGGACGGCTCAAGCCTCCCACGATGGTCCAAAGAACCCCCGCGACGGCCCAAGAGCCTTCCGAGAGAACCGTTCGAACGGCGTGAGGAGGCAAACGACATATTTTCAAAATGTTTTCATTGTTTTTGGGTTCTCGTTTTTTCTGGACCAGATCGGCCGAAAATGGTTCTGAGGGCCTCCGAGATTGTCCAAGACGGGCCAGGAGACCCCCAAGAGGGCCCCACGACGGCCCAGGATGGTCCCAGGACGGCCACAGAGATCCCCCAAGCGGCTGAAGTGAAGCCCGCGAGGGTCCCGAGAGGCTCACAAGAGAGTCCCCAGAGTGCCGTACGAGGCCGCCGCGATGGCCAAAGACGGTCCCAAGATGGCCCCCTAGATGGGCCCAAAAAGGCCGTGGCGCGTCCCAAGAGGGCCCCAATACACCCAAAAGGACGCCCGTACCCCCCCCCGGGACGGTACAAAGACGGACGCAGCTTTGCCGCCAAGGCTCCGAAGGACATTGGGTGATTGGAAAACATTTTTTTTTTACACCAGTCAGTGACGTAAAAAGCTTTGAACGCCAAGGGTACCAAGAGAGAGCAGTGGCGCAGAAACTCTTCAATCCAAGGCTCCCAAGAGCGAGCGGTGACGTAAGCAGCTTTCATCGCCAAGGCTCCGAAGAGCGAGCGGTGAGGTAAGCAGCTCTTAACTCCCAGGCTCCCTCCCAAGAGCGAGCGATGACGTAAACTACTCCTCACACCAAGGCTCCCAAGAGCGAATTGTCAGCAAAAAACTCTTCACACCAAGGCTCCAAAGAACGAGCGGTGACGTGAAACAACCCTTCAGGCCAAACTTCCCAAGAACGTGAAGTGACATGCGCCGTTATTTCACGAGAATCAATTCAGCAATCGTGCTCGCGCTTCGGGAGCCCTTGCACTTTTGTGAGGCGCTGCGCTCTCGACGTCCAGGAATCGCACTCTCGCACGCCCAGGAATCGTGCTCTCGCTTCCGATTTTCTCACAGTTTGCGTGGGCTCTGCGCTCTCGACGCCCACGAAGCACGCTCTCGCACGAGATTTCCTCTCAGGACTCGTGCTCTCGCTTAGGACTTCGATCCAGTACAGAGAACTCGAGACGACCTGAGGACCCTCCACTCAGTGTCTCGTGGCACCGTGGCGGATGTGTGAGGCTCTGCTTTGTCTATTTATTGCATAGTTCGAGGCCTGACGCTCTGCTAGGCGTCAGTCGGCTAGAATTCTTTGCACATTTAAATGCGATGCCTGCAGCCGTCGGGCTCCGTGACTCGCGACATGCGATGAATAAAGTTCTGTTTTCTCCATCCGCCGCAAGTCACGGGGTATCAAATCCTGTCGGCTTCATCCCCCGCAGAAAAAGGCTAAAGCTCTGTCGGGCCCCGCCGAGACACGAAAGTGCGTCAGGCCCAGTCTCTTCACAGAGTAGTATGCTTGCGTTATTCGCAGAATTTGATATATGTTCTCATTGTAGGCGCAATCCCACAGAGCATACTAAGTGTCAGGGCTTCTCTGGCTGCATCCATCGCAGGGTACGACGTCTGAAGCTATGCCGGACTCCGTCGTTTGTGCGACGCGCAGTCGGAACCTTTGTCGGGCCATTTCCTCAGCAAAAGAGGGGGATATGAGTCGTGGCCCTGCGCTCCATGATGTCTGTGGTTGGCGCAAGAGTCGTGTTTGCCCCGCCGTACCCAGGTACTTCACCCAGTACCGCGAGCAGATCCCGACGTCGCAGATCGTGCGCAAGATGGCGGCCATCATGCAGGAGTCCACGCAGCAGGGCGGAGTGCGGCCGTTCGGGGTCTCGCTGCTGATGGCGGGACGGGGTAGGCCGTGGACCGCGATTGGCGGGCGCGATGAGCACCTCCTTGCACCGCAAGTGCAGACGGGGATGCTGTCGTCAGCGGGCAGTGCCGATGATGCCGCTCGGCTTCATCTTCCAGGCAGTTTCTCCGAATGACCCTCGGGGCCCTAGTATGGCGTCCGGAGATCGTGCATATCGCGTGACCAGCCGTGGGCGAGTCCCCCCTCCCCTCCACAGAAACAGCGCTTCTCTCCTCATCCTTCTGAGTCTGCTACTTTCGAGCCGGAGTGTGATGGCTCTGGGGCGCAGCCTGATGGAGATGCTGCTTGTCCCCTTGGGGAGCATGCGTCGGACTTGCTTGATTCCTCTCGCTTCGCGGGGTGCACGTTCGAAGCATGTGCAGTGAAGTCGTCGTGGGGTCTCTTGGAGGCTTCTTGGGGGCCTCTGGGGGCCTCTTGGCGGCCTCTCGGGGCCGCCTTAGGGCTGTCTTGTGGTCTCTTGGGCCGTCTTGGGGCTGCTTGGGCCGTCGTGGGCCCACGGGAGTCGAAAAAGAAGAGAACGCGAAAATTGTGCAAAACCGTGCGGAATATCATGGCTTTTACATTCTCGAGGTGCTCTTGGGGGCCCCCTTGGAGCCCTCTGGGGCCGTCTTGGGGCCAATTGGGCCTACTTGTGGCAAACTTAGGCAGTCTTTGGGTCGTCTGGAGGCTATGTTGAGCCGTCTTCAGGCCCACTTGGACCCCAAGAGGCCCAATAGGCACAAACCACTGGTTTTCGTAAGATTTTGTACGGCTGTGGCGTAGCTTCAGTGTGAGCCGGGGGGGTGATACATGATAATGTAAACCAGTGCAACATGTAATACATATGTAATCACTGGATACATATGAAGGTGTGCGATTTTTGGATTCGTTGGTTACGTTGAGTTACAGCATCCGCGGACCTGCCTTTGGCAACACGTCAGTTCTGGACGTGGATTCCTCTCGCTTCGCGGGATGCACGTCCGCAGCACGTAACGACTGGGTGTTGGATGGTTAGCCCTGCTCGTCTGTCGCGAGGTTCTGCCGCGTCGTTCTTCCTGCCCAGGGGTGCTGCCAGCGCCACCGGGTCGGATGTGCCCCCCCCGTTTCAGCGACAGGACGAGCGTGTGAATGTCCACGAGGGCAATGAGCATTCACCGCGCGTCAGCACAAGACAACGCCAAAATCACATTCCCATGAGCATAGCAGCAACGCGCCATTCGTGTACACTTCCGACGGCTTCTTCGTGGTTCCTCGGGGCCGTTTGGGAGCTTTTTGGGGGCCTCTGAGAGGCTTCTTGGGGGCCCTTGGGGGCCTCTTGGGGGTCCCTTTCGGGCCTTCTGGGGCTTTTTCGGGGCCTCGTGGGCCGTCTTGGGGCGCTTTGGCGCCGTCTGCCCCCTTCGGAGTCTGTCCTGCGGGCCTCTCGGGGCCGCCCTGTGGCTCATGGGGTCCTCTTAGGCTGTTTTCGGAGCCTCTTGAGCCGTCTTGGGGGGCCTCTTTGGGACTTGGGGCCCGCCAGGGCCGTCTTGGGGACCCCTTGGGAGCCTCTGGGGCCGTCTTGGGACGATCTTGGAGGCCACTTGGGCCGTCAGGTGCTCCCGAGAGTTGAAAAAGGCGAGAACACATGCATATTGCAAAACCTAAAGGGTAATCATTGTTTTGGCTTCTGGAGTTGCTCTTGAGGGCCCCCTTGGAGCCCTCTGGGGCCGTAATCTTGGGCCGTCTTGGGGCCGCCTTGGGCCGCATTTTCGGCCATCTTGGTGCCATCTTGAGCCGTTTGAGGCCCCCTTGGGCCCCTAAGAGGCCCAAGCGGCCCAAATCATTGCTTTTCATAAGGTTTCCGTGTATGTCTGTCTGTCTGTCTGTCTGTTTGTTTGTCTGTAGGTAGGTAGGTAGGTAGGTCGGTAGGCATGTACGAATGTACGTATGTCTGTATGCATGTGCGCGCGCGTTTGTGTGTGTGTGTGTGTGTGTGTGTGTGTGTGCGTGCGTGCGTGCGTGCGTGCGTGCGTGCGTGCGTGCGTGCGTGCGTGCGTGTGTGTGTGTGTGTGTGTGTGTGTGTGTGTGTGTGTGTGTAGCGGGGGTGACACCTTTGGTGGTTCACGGATGTGGCGCGATTTTGGTGGGTGGGTTAGGGGGTTACATAATGGTGTTAAACAGTTCAACATATAACAATTGTGTCATCATCTCACATGTTGGTCACGTTTCATTGATGCGTTCGCCGAACAAACGCTGCCGCTCAGCGCGTCACCTCAGGCTTACGCCACATCCACCGACCCCTTTGTCTCACCTTTTTTAATGTGTGTGCGTGTGCGTGTGCGCATTTGGAAGCATGGAGACTCAGGGGGGTCGAAGCAGGCTCAGGGGGATCACGTGGGATAACGGGGCTTCTGTGAGTGAGGGAGGGGTGGGTTTTGCTCAGCAGGGGAGCGCCGATTGAACAAAAACAGTTCCTGGCCGAACCACGGCCCGCGACTCGAGGCGCGTGAACGCAGACTCAGGAGCCTCCCTAGCTGCCCCCGAGGCGAATTGCTTCTTGTCTTGCTGGACCAGGGCCAAGACCAGAGTGGCCTCGCCGCCCAGTGCCTGCTGCCAGCTGTTCAGCAACTCTAGGCTGCAGGCCTGCTCCATCATCGCCCTGAGCTTGCCTATATTCTTCAGCCACTTCTCCTTGTGCGGCACAGCCTGCGATCCAATCGCCTCCAGCTGCACATTAGGCGCCCCAGCCTTCCTGCCCTCCCTTGCCGCTCTGCTGCCAAGGGGAGCCACAGTTAGTAGCAGGTTCCCGCTGTGGCCCTGCCTTGTCCCGCGGGGTCTCCGCGCCATTGCAGGGCTTCAGAGTTGCGCCGACGTGCTGACAATTTGCACCAACAGAGCTGCTTAGCGTCTTGACTTCTTCACCTTCTTCGCCTTCTTCATCTTCTCCTTCTGCTTGAGCTGCTTCGCCTCGGCCGCGTGGTCTGGCAGCGCCCCCTGGTCCGAGCAAGGGTCCTTGGTGCGGGACTTGACCTCGATCTCGACGAGCTTCTGGTCCGTCTGCTCGAAGAGGCTGGGGCCTGTTGATTTCCCCACAGCATTCGACATCTTCATGAACCTGTCCCAGCGTTTCAGCTTGACGCCCGGCCCCCTAGCCCTGCTCTTGCTCCGTCGGCGGCGCCATCTTCTCCGCGGCCTGCAGCAGCTGCGTCTCCACGTATGCCACCTTCGCCACCTTGCACACCTGGTTCTCGAAGCTCGGCCCCTGAGCAGCCGTCGGAATCGCTGCCGCAGTCGTCGATTAAGAACCTGGCTGGCCCACGGCAACCCTCGCAGACTTGCCCCCCTGGGCATCTGCTTGGCCATGGGCTTCTCCGTACCCGCCCTCTGCACTGCCTGGCCCGCCGCGAGGTCCAGCTGCGGCTTAGCACTCGCTTGCCCCGTCCCCGCCGCTGGTGGCGCCGCGCTCTCGCCCTTCAGCAAGATGAACACTGTTCTCCCTCCACTCCAGTCCACGAGATGCTCAGACACACGAGGAACAGAAGGGTATTGAGGGTCCACACGATGATCAAGCAGGAAGGGACGAGAAACGGCGAGCGACAGGAGTGGGTTCGTTCGTCGTGCGCTACGTGCGACCCGCGGGCAACAGGAACGCTGGCAGAGGGAGCGTTCAGGGGGGGGGGCGGAGGCGTGGGCGATGAAGAGCGGAGGCACGCGCGAGAGAAATATCGTGCCAAGTGCGCGGGAACGAAGGCGCACCAGAAGTTGCGCACTGGCACCTCGAAGTGTGAAGAGAAGACGGTCCGCATGCGATGTTCGAGCCCGTATTGCGGGGCGCTCTTCGAAAATAGTGCAACAGTGTCGCAGACGCAGGAGGACGCGAAGCGAAGCGGTGAGAGGTTGTGTCGGAAGTGTGTGGAAGAGAACGTTACGGCCGCGTAAGGCGCGCGCGCGGCGTGCAAATCGCAGCAGGGGCACGTCAGCCGCGCGCACGAGAGGAGTCACTTAAGCAAGACAGTTCGAGTTGTGTGCTTGGCCTGCAAGGGCCTCGGGCTCACGGCACGCGACAGGCAAGGTATGAGTGCACGCGCTCCCGAAATCCGCGTTTGCGGGGGGAGGGAATTTCGCGCGGTCCTTCCTAAGAGGAACCCTCAAATGCAGGTCGCGCGGATGACGCCCCGGCGGGTGGGCATTGTGGAAGCATCCCGCTGGCGGGGACATGTACATTCCCGCGATGTTTCAGGGACGGCTGAGTTCATCTCCTGCCCCGCAGGGGCCTGAGAGCCTCAATGAACAGAAGCGGTCGGCGAAAGAGCGAAGAAGAGGCAGAAACGTGAGGGGCTTTGTCGGCGTGGTTTGCTGAGTGAGTCCGCGCCGTGATGGGGGGGGGGGCTTCTGAAGGTGACCAGGAGCTGCGTTTGTCAATATTGATAGCGGAGTGTGTCGGGGCCGTCTGCAACGAGGCCGAGTAGGGGCCTCTGAGGGCGACGAGGAGGCCTCTCGGGCGCCTCGTGGGGGCCTGTTGGATGCCTCAAGGTTGTTTGCTGAGTGTGCCCGGGCCGTGACGGGGCCGAGTAGGTGTTTATTCAGGGCGGCGAGGAAGCCTCTTGGGAGCTTCGTGTGGGCCTGTTGGAGGCCTCCTGGGGTCCTGTTTGGGCTTCTCTTCTAGGGGACCTCTTGAGGGCTCTCGAGGGCATCTTGGGACCCTCTTATTGGCTCCATGGGGATTTTTTGGGGGCCTCCACGGGGCCTCTGGAGGGCCTCCTGAGAGGCTCTTGGGACTCTGTGGGCCTTTCGGTGACCCGTTCGACCGTCTGGAGGCGTTCTTGGAGGCCTCGCGGGCCGTCATGGACGCTCGTGAAACCGAAAAGGTCGTGGAGACAATTATCTAAATCATGCAGAAACTGGCGAGTTTGAATGGTTTTGGATTCTTGAGAGTCCCGTAGGGCCTTCTTGGGCAGTCTTAGCGGCGTTCTGGGCCGTCCTGAGCCCGTCTTGGGCCGTCTTGGGTGTATTGGGCTCTCTTGGGGCCACTTTGGGCGTCTTGCAGGCCTCTGTGGCCGTCTTGGAGGCCATGCTGAAGGCCCAGCGTCCCTAAAAGAGCCCCAGACGAGTTCATACGTGGGTCGTCAGGAGCTTGCCCCCTCCCTCAAATGCGCAATTTTGGACCCGTGTGGGGGATCTGTAGGAGGGAAAGCTCTCTCTCACGCCTTTTGGCCCCAGAGGGGTAAGCGGATTCGTGGTCTCTCCCTTCCTCTTCGTCGTCTTCCAGACAGTTGCAACATTTTTCCTGTTACCTGGGCGTAGGTCAGGTAGGGATCGTCGTGTCTGTAGATGCCACATCCGCGACCAGCCTGAAGCATATCCCCACCCCCATCATTGGCATTGAGCTCTCGGTGCCGATGTCAAGGACCCCCCCACTGAGGGCACATCCCTGAGATTGTCATCGCCCTGGATCTCAGGGATACGGGTAAGCTCCAGGCTGGCCAAGGCTGCCGAGCCCTCCCTCCCTCCCCTCTCGGTGGGGGTGGGCGCCCGGGCCCGCTGGGGGAAGGCCGGCTACGACGAGAACGGGCCGCAGCTCTTCCAGGTGGACCCCTCGGGGTCATACTTCGGGTGGAAGGCCCTCGCCTCGCCGCCGTCGCCGCGGCTGATGTGTCGAGGATCTCTCTGCGCCTCCGGCGGTCTTTCTGGGCCTCCGGCAGCCTCCAGGGGCACGTGGACCTTCAGAGACCCAGACCGGGGACGCCGAGATGCTTCACAACCCGGATTGTTTGCTCAATTCCGGCCCCTCCTGGGCGCTGGGACCGTCCAGGCTTTTGCACCGTCCACAGCTTCGGGTGGAAGGCGCTCCTTTCCTTCTGCCGAGGCGAGGGGGGTGGGGCGTTTGGCATTTGCGGGCCGCGGGAGGCCTCTGGAAACTCAAGGGACCCATGGTGGTGTCTGGGTGCCTCAGAGGATCCCTCTGGGAGATCTCCAGGACCTCCAGGGGCCTCCCGTCGCATTTCGGGTGGAAGACCCTCCCTTCTTTTTTCGCTGGGGGAGGAGAGGAAAGGATACGGCGGGTTCGCGCCGCTTCGACGCGGCGGCGACGCTGGCGCAGGCGTTCAAGTTGAACGACCACTGAAGACTTCAGTGGTCCGGTCTCAGGCCCCAGGTTCAACAGAGAACAAGCCATGGCGCGGAATGCAGAAGACGTACTGGATGCGCGGAGGGAGAGCTTCGCTAGTTTGTGGTGCAAGGGTCGTCTTGCATGCGCGCAGTGGGATGTCTGTAGTGAGCTCACCGAAGGCAACAAGTCAGCCACCCTGGCCTCAATGAGCAACTGGGCGCGCAATTGCACCGGTGTGTTCGACGCCGTCCACTCGAGCATCTTTGGGAACTCCAGAAGCAGAGGTCGTCTCGCGGTGCCCGCGTCCTCGGCGGCCTCAGCTGCGCGTACAGCAGCGGGGTCGACTGCGCGGACACTGGCGCATAGGCTGCCCGCGTAAGGTCACGTGGAAGCGCCCTCTTCTCCGCGCGGTGTGCCGCGCTGGCGGCATGCGTAGACCACCGCGTGAGGTCGCTCTGCCATGGTGTGCAGGGTCACCCCTCTCGTTCGTCGCTCCACTCGCTGCGCGCACAATAAAGTGCTTCTCAGAAAGGACTGGAGGCTCCAATAATGCTTCTCAGGAGGCGGATTCTGCAAGCGTGGACCGTGGATGTGAATCCGCTGGAAGCGGATGAGGAAAGTGCTGATGGCTTTCAAGCCATAGCCAATTCAGAAGAATCGTGGTTTGCGAGTTCCGACGGGACGAAGATGCAGCCGTCATCCATCGACACTGCCTCTACCACAGCACTTTCATGATATTCCGCGTCACTCTGTGGACCCGAAGGCCTCTGCCATCGGGAAAAACCATGTGAACGCCAAGTCCTTCTTGGAGAAGCGTTTCACCGAAGACATTGAGCTAGAGGAGGGCAGGGGATGGGTGGATCTCACAGCGTAGAGTTTTACACGTATGCAGCTTTGTCGTGTTTGGCTGGATTACATAGCAGTTTGGATGTGCTATTTCTGTCCCACTCGTCGCGAGACATTTTCGCATGTCGTTAGCGTTGCCAATGACAGCTCCGCACCTGTGTTCTCCTCTGCTTGGCTCTCCTCTGCATTCTTTTCTCTACGCCGCCTTCCCCTCCTCTCCTCTGCTCCTGTTAATTACTCCGTCTCTCCAGTTTTGCAGTTCAACTGTTTGACGCATCTCGTGTGCGGTCCTTCCAGCCCAACCAGAAACGATTGCCAGTGGAGCTGCTCCACTCAGAGTGCGAAACAGACAGGTGAGTCAGTCGTCAAATTAAAGCTCAGAATCAACCAAATCATGCCCAGGAGTTTTATTGCTGAGCCTGTCGTCGAAGAAGGATGGGCAGGAGGAGGAGAAGGATAAGAAGGAGGAGGATGCGGAGCTCAACGACGGCGGCGTCCCAGTCGCGAGCTTGGGCCTCCTCCCGGAGGTGCAGACTGCCGTCATGAAGAACTTTACCCAGTACGACGAGTACCAGCAGCTCTACGACATGTTCATCAGCAGCACCGTCGCTTTCAGCAACCTTGGGCCCATGGGTGTCTTCCCAGAGCCAGATGTCCACGACTCCAGTTTCCAGGCCAAGTTCTTCGATGAGGTCTCGGAGTCGGCAGGGGCCGACTTTGATGTCTTGACGGAGGCGTTCGGGGCCCACTTCCTGACGAACGCCAAATACCTTCCTGCGACCTCGGAGTGGGCAAATTCCGATGTCCAGACCGTTACTCAATTCATGCATGGGCCAGCCTCGGGCGAGGGCTCGGCCACACCGACTTCGACTTGGGACGCTGTGGGATTGGCGGACCTCGTCGGCTCCGACCCCGCACCCAGCAGCCCCTGCTGCCACACTGTCGGCATCGCCGCCGAGATCTGGCTGTCGTTCGTGGCCTTCCTCGGCCTGTACTACTTCTTCGTGACGGCCTTCTTCCGGAAGCCGAAGGGGAGTCCGACACCCACGCCTCGCCCACGCCGGGGCGTCGATCAGGGAGTACAGCATCCTGATGATGCGCGTCTTTTCCAAAGCAATTTTGAGGGCAACTCCTCCTTACAGTCTTTGGAGTTGGATCCTGATTTGATGTATCATGCCCCCTTGAGGGGAGCGGCCTCAAACCTTCTCGGCGGCGGTCGCACCAAGGACATCAAGAACGAGCGCAGCACGGACCTTCTGGAAGGCATCCGGAAACTCCTGGACATCCACACGGCCGCGCCTCAGCAGCACCCAGCCGCCACGAACCGCTCCCACCCCGAGCGCAAACCGAAGCCGACGCTTCACGACGCCCTCAGCGGCGCCCTCGGCAAGGCCAAGTGTGACCAGGGACTTCTGGGCAAGCTTCGGTCCATCCTCCGGGCCGTGGACGCCGGCCACATCACCCTCGGGGACAACGAGGCACCCCCGAAAGGATCTCGGCGAGGCGCAGCTGACGGTGGCAGAGGGTGTGGCGGCGGCGCCTCGGCTGGCAAGGGCTCCCGCTCTGAGCAGCCCCCTGCGCCCACGGTCACGCCCCATCGTCCAGAAACAGCATCCGCCCATGGAGCTGGCAAGGGCAAGGATACCGGGCCACCTTGGGCCCTTTACCAACGCGAGTGGTCCAAGGCCACCGTCTCCAAGCAGGGGTTCGTGTTGGCCAAACTGAGGAGAGGGGGGCGCCCGTCTGCTGGCCACACTGCCTGCCTCGCCGAGTCGACGGACATGGCCGACGAGATGTTGGCCCTCTGGCGTGCGCACCCCCAGAACGACACAGACGCCTCCTTGACAGTGGCCGTCGTGGCGACCAAGGAGGGTTCCTGGCAGCCAGACGGGGCCACGGGCATTTTGGCGCACCTCGCTCTCGTGAAGCTGGACAAGCAGGCCGTGAAGCTAGCTGGTCAAGTACATCATGCTCGGCAAAGCCGTGGAGCCCCCTGCGAGCCCGACCATCAAGGATGTCAAAGAGGTCCCGAAGCGGCAGGACACCGTCACGGTCTGGCTCACCGTCTTTGCCGATTTCCTGTCGGACAAGCTGTCGCTGTTCTCCGCGAGCCAGGCCCTCAAGGCGGTGTGGCCCGCAGCAGGCAAGGGCATGCTGTTTGGTTGTTGGCGTCCCATTGGCACGAAGGGCAAGGATCCCGACTCGTACACCATGTACGTCACTGGCACGCCGGCCCAATGCAGCGGTCTGTTCAAGATCCGCGGCAAGCACGGCGTTTTCGTCCAGTACTTGGCGTCCTTTCGTGACCGACGCGATCGGACGACTGTGGCGTGGGTCGCCCGGCCTGCCGGGCTCACGCCGCTCGAGTACCGCGACCTGGCCTTCCAGGAGGGTAATGGCAAACCACTCGTGCACAGAATGGGGCGTGGCCCTGATCTGGGCTACGAGCGCGACGGCAGTGACGCACGACAGTGTCCTCCGCACATCGGGCGAGCTACCACGCCGCGGTGGTGGCGCACGACCGATCTCGAGTCCTTCCTGGGGGCCAACGACTGGCAGCAGGTGCAGGTCCTCACGCACCTCAGCCCCGGCTCCTGGCACGTCCGCGCGGGCGCCCGGCCGCTGGCAACGACCACGTACAGATACGAGGCAGGTTTCGACGACGACATGGGCCACGTCACCGTCCTTCCCCTGCCGCGCAAGGTGAAGTCCACCAGCGAAGGACGTACTCTCAGACGGCCGGACTTCCCGTGGCTGGACACGGAGGTCCCGGCAACCCCGCCGCAAGGCGATGCCCCCGCCCCGCCCGTGGGTGCAGCGGCTGCGGCGAGCGATCCCCCTGGCGAGGGTGATGCGCCCATGCCCGCGGCAGCGCCAGCGGCGCCTCCTGCTACGGGCAAAGGCGCTGACCAACACAAGAGGCTAGGAACCCAGAAGACGGACGGGACTAAGAGGTTCAAGCTGGACGGCAAGCAGATCGTGCGGGACGCGAACTGCCTCTTGGACGGCATGGAGATTGTGGAGGCCGAGGGCCGTGGCGCGTGCGGCTACTGTTCCATGGTCGCCGCCGGGGAGCTCACCCGCGACGCCTCCTTCAGCACTGCTGCCGTCGGCGCCATGGAGAAGATCTGGGTCGACGCGGGCACGCTGGGGGTCCAGACCGCCCAGCTCTTGACGAAGAACTCAGACGTTTGGAAGCCCTACTGGGCCCAGGACCCCAAGCATATTTCACACACAGGCCATACATTCGACGAGTGCGTCGCGAAGTGCTCGGCCCCAGACTTCTGGATGGACGAGTTGCAGCTCAACGCAGCGTCCGCCAAGCTCAAGCGCCAGATTACCGTGGTCTATCGCGACGGCAAGCAGGGCTGGGCCAGGCGCGCACTGGGCCACCAGCACAAGAGCAAAGGTTGGTTCGTCCTCCTCCTGGACGAGAGCCACTACCGAGCAGTCCGGCCGCCAACGGGCGGATTCCCAGCGAGTCTCTGCGAGGACGCGGGCGCCCCCATGTCCAACTTCGGGCGAGGAGGGGGCCGGGCCTTCAGCTGGCTCACGGACTCCCCCCAGGGCTCCGCCGCGACGCGGACGAGACGGAGGTCCAGCAGACCTTCTTCTTCGGCGCCGCCGCCGGGCCGCTGTGCTCGGACAGTGGCCGCCTCCGCGGCCATCAGGAGTTCGAGACCTACATTTCCTCGTTCTTGCGCACGTACCTTGCGAGGGAGCTTGCGGACGACGTCGAGTGGCTGCTCGAGCAGACGGTGGGTGCCCGCAGGCGCTGGGCTTCCCAACACCAGCAGACCATGCCCGCCACAGTCGAGGCCCAGCGCGTGATGCTGAACAGGGATACGGAGGGCCTCCGGAGGAAGTACTATAACCCCGGCGACCTCTACGCCTGCCCGTGCGGGTGGCGGGCCAAGAGCACTCCGGCCGCAGCCCGTGCCAACGCGCGGCAGGCCGAGCGGCTTTGGCATTCCTGCCAGCCCGGCACTCGGTGGGAAGCCTTGGATGATGCTTTCCATCAGGCTTCTTTGGCTCCAATGCGTGATCCTGCCATCCAGGGCCGCAAGGTACCTAAGGCATGGGGGCGTCGCCAGACGCTGCGTGCCTGCGTGCCGGCGTCGATCGCGCGGTGCGCCCACGACCTCGACGGCGCTACGGCGCAGAAGCTCCGCCGGGCCAAGGGGGGCAAGTCTACCTTCTACACGTGCCGCCGGTGTGGTGGCTCGTGCGTGCTTGCCTCCGCGTGGAAGTTCCCATGCCCAGCCATTCCCCTTGCTGACCGCCCCACTTGCGTCGACTTCGAACTGCAGTGCCGGGGCGCTGGGTCAGCGAGGTCATCGAAAGCCATGGCCGTGGGCACGGCCAAGGACAGCAGGCCATGCAGCGCTAAGAGAGCGCCCAAGGAACCTTTCGGCAGCGGTTCCTTCAAGCGCCGGCTCGCGGTCAAGCGGGAGCAGCCCTCGAAGAAGCGGGTGCTGGCACCCAGGGCCGCCCTTTGACTAGGGGCGCAGTGCGCCGGGGGCCCGCCTGGCTACCGGCGCCCTCGCGGCAAGGGTGGCTGCTTCGGCCCCCTGGCTGCCGCCCGGGTGGGGGAAGCCTCCCACCCCGGCCCTCCGCGCTTCTAGCGGCGGCCGCAGCAGTTCCCGACTGGCATGGTCATCTGGGGCTGCAGCGTGAATGGCTTCAAGGACAGGAAGCCCGTCGGCGACTCGGCTGCAACGAGCAAGTGGGCACGCGTCCAGGGCCAGGCCTTGGCTGCAGGCGCGCGCATCATTGGCCTCGTGGAGACCCACATGGACAGCTTCACAGCAGACCGCTTCGGCGCACAAGCGTCCATAGCTGGCTTCTCATGGTATTTGTGTTCTTCGGGTACAGTGAGGTCTCGGGGAGTCGCTTTTCTCGGACCTCCAGAACTACGTGCGGACCCGTGGGCGTGGGAGCCAGATTTCCAAGGCCGCGTTGTCTCCGGGCTTCTCCGCAGCCACGGCCAGGGCACCATGTTGGTTGTCGTCATCTACGCCGACGTTCGCAGCCAGGAGCAAAGACAGCGCCTATGTGCTGCGGTTGCCGCACGCGTCGCTGCCGCCGATGTTCCTGCAGTTGTTTTTGGGGGCTGCAACTGCGAGCCCATGGACGAGGAGACCGCGTCCTTCGCTGGCAGTCTCGATTGCGCGCACCATTACCTCCCTGAAGGAGAACCTGTGTGGCACCACGCCCACGGCGACCGTTGATCGACTACGCCGTGTGCAGGCACCTCGTCGTCAACACCTTCGGCGCCGACACGGCCACTAGTGACCACAAGGCCATCGTTTTCAGCGCGCAGCGCGAAACGGAGGCTCTCGTTCAGACAATTCAGCGTTTCGTTGCTCTGGAGCCCCCGGCCAACCTGGAGGAGTGGGACAGCGACTGGAAGGACTAGATGCACTATTTCGAGGGTGCCTGGGACGCGGCAGAGGCAGCACGCGATCCAGCACGTCTCTGGGAGCTTTGGTGCGACCTCCTGGAGGCGTCGTGCGGCGTGCCCCCGGAGCGCAGGCATCGTTGGCGAGGCACTGTGCTGCGCCGCTGGCAGCGGGTTTGGCGTGGCTGCCACGGCCAGCGCCGGAGTGTTCAAGAACGACGGCTTCACCGTGTTCTTCGTCGCCTACACCACCTTCTGCGCGGTCCCCGGGCTCGCGGCGATGCTGGAGGGGGGCGGGGGGGGCGAGGAGGGCGACGAGGACGAGATGACGATCGCGATCTTCTCCAGGCCATCGGCAAAGGTCTGCAAGGCTTGGTCCGGGACGGCATCCTACCGAGCATCTGGGACAGCAGTCCAGCTGCCGCCGCCGCGGCCATTTCAGCTAAATTGGAGCAGCTCCACGCCGCCCGCAAGGAAGCCCGACTCCAGGAGTGGCGCCGCCGACAGCATGAGGGAAACATGAAGGCCATCTGCACCTGCGTGTCTGGGAAGACGACCAAGCCTACAGCTGCCGCCCGGGGCACCACGGGGCAACTCTCTGGGGGCACCGCGGGACAACTGTGTGCGGACCTTTCCGCCGTCGTGGCCGAGGCCGTCCGGCAGTGGAACAGGAAGCAGCACCCCGCCCTGGCTGGCAACCGCATCAACGACTACATCGACGAGGTCAGAGAGTTCGTCGACACGAGCGCACCGCCAGAGGCCGAATGGACCTTCGAGAGCCCCAGCCTGCGCCAAGCCTTCCGGTCCATGGTGGGCACTGCGGCAGGGCCGGCCCAGATCCCGGCGGCCCTGCTGGCGCGGGCGCCACGAGTCGCCCTCGAGCTGCTGGGGCGCATCGGCGATCTCATCCGTGCCACAGGGAAGTGGCCGAGCGCTTTGAGGAGCCAGGAGGTGACCATCATCCCCAAGCCTTCTGGGGAAGGCCTTCGCCCGATTGGGGTCGCGCAGACAGTCGCCAGGGCCTTCAAGAAAATTATGGTTCAGAAGTACAGGCGCTGGGCCGAGCAGGTGCAGCCCACCGGCGCCACCGCTGCCGTGTTTCTCGTCGATTTCGCCATCGACAAGGCCAGCGAGGACGCCGGCCTCGTCGTCCGGCAGAGCGACCTCAGCAGCTGCTTCAGGCGGCTACAGGCCGAGCTCGTCGTGCAGGTGGCCGGTCTCTTCGGCATGCATGACAAGGACGCCGTGTTCTTGTTCTCGGACAGTAGTGCCCGCAACATCGTCGTCAAGGTTGCGGGGCGCGCCAGAGCGCGGCCTCGCGCAGGGTGACCCGGGTTCGCCGCTCGGGGCTGCCATCCTTGCCGGGGCGCGCGCCAGGCGACTCGCCGCGGACCGCGACATCATGTTCACCACGTGCGTGGACGACAGGACCATGATTGCCGACGCCCCGCAGGAGGTGGAGTCGGCCGCCGACGCGCTGGCCTGCCTCGACTGGCTCAGCGGGCAGGAGGAGGACCCTGGTAAGTTGGCAGTGGCCGCCGCCAACGTCCAGGGCGGCAACTACCAGAGTTACGTGGACGTCCTCGGCGTCCGTCTGGACCTCCCTGGGGCGAACCCTCCAGAGGCTGCCCCGCGGGCCTTGCGCCGGGTCCAGGAGCTGCTCGCGCGGCTCGCGAGGATCCAGCGAATCAGCCAGGCGGCTCGCCTGCCGCGGCGCCGGGTGCGGCAGGTCGTCCTGGCCAACGTCGGCATCTTGCGCTGGGATGCGCCGTGGTGCGTTCTGCCCGACAAGACCCTCCAGGCCCTGCGGGCAGCCTTGGAGACAGCCCTCGCAGGGCGGCGCCGGTGCGCCCCCTGGAGACACCGATGGGGCCGCATGGAACGTATGTCCCAAAGCGTGGAAGATCGAGCCAATGGGCGTGGCGTTGCGCGCGGCCGTGGGCATGCTCAAACGCACCCTCGGCGGCCTTCTGGAGGCCTTCGTCCGCCAGCGGTGGAGGCCGGCCCACGCAGCAGCTCGCCCGTCAGTTGGGTGGCTGTTGCGGACCCGCGAGCTCTTGGACTCCATGGGCTGGTGCACGGCCAGTGACCCATTCGAGGACCTTTTCCCTCACGAACACGACCCGCAGTGGGCTCGACCACGTGGCGCGGGAGGCCTGGTGCTCGTGGATGATGAAGGCCGGCGAGGCGAAAGTCAGCAGGCAGGACGTGGTCAACGTCCCCAGCTTTGATGGGAAAGTGCTTCGGGATTTCCTGGACAGCTACGACAGCGGCCCAGATCACAGCTGGGCCTGGCCCAGCCCAGACCGCCTCCACCACGTCGACAACGCTGTGGCCCAGGACTGCGCCGCGTGCCGCACCAGAGCCACCGCGAGACATCCTCTGGCAGTGCCCTGCCACCGAAGCAGTCAGACACAGTCGTGGCCTACGTCTGTCTGCCGGAGCTCGCCCCGGAGCTCCCCGAGCCTGAGCGTTCAGCCCTTCTGCTGAATGGGTGGATCCGCGCAGCGTGGGGCGCCCCCGCCGGCGTGTCCAGCGACGTTCACGCTGCTGCCACCAGGCGGCGGCGCCAGCTTGCCAAGCGCATTCTCGCATGCAAGTTCGTGGTCCTTCGTCCACATTACGATCGTTTTCTCGCCGCCGTTTCTGGTGAGGCCTAAGGTGTGCTCCGGTGGGGTGTAAGACCGTGCTTCGCACCGACATCTTGCCTCACCCTCCGCGCCTGCCAGGAGGAGGGTGCGGAGGATAATGTGGAGAAGCTGGAGAAGGAGGAAGGGGGGGAAGGAGGGGGATCAAGAGGGAAGTGGGATAATGCTGCTGCTTCTGCTGCGGAGGAGGATTATGAGGAGGAGGATGAATAATAGGAACAGGAAGAGGAGGATGGGCAGGAGCAGGAGCAGGATTGTGACGGAGAAGAAGGGGAACGGCGACGACACTAACGAGGAGGAGGAGGAGGAGGAGGAGGAGGAATATGAGGAGGAGGAGGAGGAGGGGGAGGAGGAGGGGGAGGAGGAGGAGGAGGAGGAGGAGGGGGAAGAGGAAATTGAGTTCGATTGCGACGACGACGACGACGGCAGAAGTCAAACATGAGCTTATTCGCGGATCGTTTGCTCTACGAGCTCCTTGGAAGCTTATTGGAGTTGCCTTGGAGCCCCCGCGGGGCAAGTTCTGGGGGCTTTCGCTGCATTCTTGAGGCCCTTTTGGGGCCTTGGGACCTCCTTGTGGAAATCTTAGAGGACATCGATTGCATATGGGAGTGTTGAATTCAGCCGCGCCCCTCATGGGCTCAACGCAGCCTCCGTTGTTTTCCGAGATGCTTTTGGAACGCTCTCGGGGCCGCATTGGACCTCTTCTGGGCCGCCCTGGTTAATCCCTTGCGGCCTCGGAGGCCCCTCGCAAGAGACAAGGCGAGATTGCGCGTGCCATTGGGCTCCCATGGCTCTCGGAAGCAGTATGGCCTCTCGCGGGTATCCTTGGGGCGCTGCGTGGCCATTTGGGTCCGTCTTGGCATGGTCTTGCGTTCTCATGGAGGCGCGCTGAGTGACATATTGAGCCATCTTAGACCATATTGCGCCATCTTGGAGGCCATCTTCAACTGTCTAAAGTCAGCTTAGAGCTATCTTGGCGCAACCACCGCCCAATGCTGCCCCCGATATGCACATGGTTGAGATCCCGCTCGCTTTTTCAATGCTTTCTTCGTTGGGCGAAGTGGGCGGCGACCTTGGCGTCGCCCCTCTTGACCCCGAGCAGTCGCTTCTTGGGCCCCTTGTGGGACGCGGTTGGCCGCTCTCGAGGCCGCCTCGGGCCATCCTGGGCCCCTCCTTGGGCTTTCTTGGGCGATCATGGCGCTATCTTGAGGCCTCGGAGGCCAATCTGAAGCGAGCGCGCGAGAAGGTGCACATCATTGGTCTCCTCAGGTTTTGGAAGAATATTGGCCTCTCGGGGGCGTTGCCGAGAAGCTCCGCGCTCTCGGGGGCGTTGCCGAGAGGCTCCGTGGTCATTCGGCTCCGTCTCGGGGCGGTCTTCGAGTCTTCTGGAAGCATGTTGGAGGATATCTTGTCCCATCTTCGACTATCTCGTGCCACCTTAGAGACGTCTTGGGCCAGGCAGGAACCTCTGATACCTCGCGCCCCACTCCAGACCCAGGGAATGGGTAGGGGGAACGGCAAGCTAATCCACTCGCCGCAGGTCGTCTCGCTCACTCCCACCCGACTTTTCAACGCATGGGTAACACTCGAGTCTCAGTATGCTGAGCGGTTGCGCTTGGACCTGCAGCGACTGGGCACCATTGCCAATCTTTACAGACGCCAGGCGTACCAAGCACACCAGGTGCTGTGAATAGAACCCGTATAATATCCTGATTTATACTCCTTATCCTCACCTCTCCTGCGCCTGGCCGTTTGGGCTCAGGTATTGAAATAGATCGATCAGACCTTCGATCGTGCAGGAGGATATATATATATATATATATATATATATATATATATATATATATATATATTCTTTCCTTTCCTCTACCAGCGGATCAGGGGTTCTGTACCTTTGTATTCTAACCCCATGCACAGGTTATCAGCCCTTTAAAGCTCACAATTCATCGAACCCCGCGTCGCGATCTCGCACGCGGCCTCGATGAAACCCAAGCGGCGCATGCGCCGTAAGGGGTCCATCGGGGCCTCGCGTCCGAGCTCTCCGACGGCGCGACGGCTCGGTGATGAGTTGGAGAGCCTTAGTGTGGACCGTGCAGGTGTCCCAGGCGCCCGCCCCCCAGCTCCGACGGACCCGAGGCGCGGCTAGCTGCTGAACTTCACCGCCGCGCCGCCCGCGGGGGGGCAGGAGAAGGAGTAGGGGCAGGCAGTGGAGAATTCCACACGCCTACCTTCGATCCTCCATCTCCTCCTTCGTCGGGAGCAATCCCACTTGCGTCGGGCGCAAGCCCCGCTGGTCCTGATACTCCAGGGCGCTTTCGCGCTAACCGCCGATGGACCGCAGGTGCTGTCGCGACTAGCCCTGCGACCGTT